GTCTCCTCGTCACATCGATTTTGTCTAAGCCGATATCGTAACGCCCTGCTCACAATCCTCTTAACTCTCATTCTTTCTACCTAAATTTGACGCTTTTATACAAGAAACTAAAAGGCCAAGCGCAATGTGGGTGGAAGCGGAACTGAAACGGAAAGTTTGACAGTTGTCACAAATGACATCAAAAAGCCTAACCGAAGTCGATTTGGTTCTAACTAGTTTTCAATCCGACAAGTAGGCTTACTCAGATCGGGCTTTTCCGCAGCCGCTGCCGTTCCACTGACGTTCCGCTGCCGCTGCCGTTCCGCTGCCGCTGCCGTTCCGCTGCCGCTGCCGTTCCGCTGCCGCTGCCGTTCCGCTGCCGTTCCGCTGCCGTTCCGCTGCCGCTGCCGTTCCGCAGCCGCTGCCGTTCCGCTGCCGCTGTCGTTCCGCTGCCGTTCCGCTGCCGCTGCCGTTCCGCTGCCGCTGCCGTTCCGCTGCCGCTGCCGTTCCGCTTCCGCTGCCGCTGCCGTTCCACTTCCGCTGTCATTGCGCTTGAGCCTTAAATCATATGGTAGAGCGCTACTTCGTCGTAATCGGCCATATCCGTTCCATCGATCAGAAAAGATCAATAATATCAATGATTTCACCGTGCACAAATCAATAATAGGTTTGTTCCGATGCGTTAGTTCATTAGCTACAACATAAATCCTATTAGAGCGCATTGTATGAATATTTACGCTCATTGTTCTCAAAACAAAAGAAGCACCCCTAGCGAATCCTCTTTTTCTACGTTTATCCGTAGGACGAAAAAAATCTAATGGCGTTTCAATGCGTTAGGACGGAATTGAAACTCGTAGAACGAATTTAGAATCAAGAAGCAGTATTAGATTTTAAACAATATCTCAACAATTTGTGATTCTTTATCAAATCCAACGGTACGTATCGAAAGGTGAATAAATTTAGAAGTCATCTTTGACAGAAATAAGTGCGGTAAAGTGCGGGTTGTGCTTAGTAGGAAGGAAATTAGATCAAAAACCCTATTTAGATGTTCAAGACTTTTTAAATTTGATTTCATAGGAAAGATACTGCAAGCACCGAATATACTGCCAGTACCAAAAATACCGCTAATCAACCATAGGTGCTGTCCTTTGACGGATGAAATCTTTTGAAAACCAACTGACTCCTTCTTTCTTGCATGAGTTTTTTTTTTCGACTGATAAATGTTTTATAATCCAACTCGAAATGTAGGATATTGAGTCGTTCAGGGTAATGAATATGTTGAAGATATAACATCTACTCACACAAAAATCAGAATTTTACTGGTGATGTAAGCATCCATTCATGCATGTAAAGTTCCTTTTAACGTAAACTAGCACTTGCAGGAAATGTTGCTTACAAAGATGAACAGTTGCATGCAATAAATGGAATATATCATGATATGTCACATAAATTTACACGATCTATAATATAAAATTGTACTGCGCATTTTGAACCTTAGTAGACTCCTGAGCTGAAATTATTTTCTCAGTCACGATCCCTCACCTCACTGTGCATGCTTTGATCGTTTTTCTTGATTTGTTTTGATTATTTTCCACTTACGCGCTTGTCAGATTGTATTCAATTGTTCTGTTCCACTTTTTTCCTATCGGCATCATTCCGGAATAAATAGTCTAAGGAAAAGTTTATGGTGTACATTCATCGATAGGTGGGTATTTTCAAATATCAGTAGTGGAATAATTAATTAATCAATCAGATTGCAGAGCATGGAGAAAAACCAAAAACGGTGTCACTTGGAAGCTTCGGAAAATTCGGAAACAGAAAATCTGTCGCGTCTTTCCAAACCCGATGACGAGATGGAATATCCCAAAGATGGCCAAGGAGGAGCTTGATCTCTGATTGTGATGATGACCCGGCCGTGACTGTAGATTATGAGTTGAATTTAACCGGTGAAAATTGTGGCTACGCTCAATCTATGCTGCCTAGTGGCTTGTATGGCTGTTGGCTGCTGGTATCGGTTCGTGAGTTTAAGGGTCAGAGTTCAGGAAAAGATGCAGGTAAATGGGGAGTTTCAGGAGACTCTCCCGCGGAGTTTGTGAAAAACTGTCGGTTGTTGTCCCAACAGTTTCTCAAACGTGAGATCGTCTTCGTCTGCGAGGAAATGCATTAATTCGCATTAATTAACGACAAATCTTGTCACAGCCTAAGTAACAATTTGGGTTTTATAAGGGTTCTGTAGACCATGATTTAGACTTGTAGAGTGCTTTAAAACCTTAATAAAACTTGCAATGCTACTTTGGAGGTTACATACCGTTGACAAAATCACAGCAACAATTTTGCAAAACTGGAAGAACAAAGAGATTGAAAAAAGGGTAGTACACACTAAAAAAATCTGAATTTTACTGGTGATGTAAACATCCATGCATGCAAATATTCATGCATGTAAACTTCCTTTTCACGTAAACTAGCAGCTTGCAAGAAATGTTGCAAACAAAGGTGGAAAGTTGCATACAATATATGGAATATTGCATGACATGTCTCATAAATTTACACGATTTATAATGAAAAAATTTGTATGATTTATGACGCTCCATTTATGTGCATCATAGTAACGGAAATTTACACTACTTTTTTTTAGCTGTGTAGGATGGCAGGAATATGGCATAAATGCCCAATGAACGGAGATAGGAAAACTATCGCAGCATCGCAATGAATTCTAGCACCATCAAGAATCCAAACAGAATGGAACCCAGGGTAGCACTGAACAAAGCAAATGTTCTACAACATTCGAAAAATTTTGCTCTGTTAAAAGTCCCTTCTGTCATGAATGCTTCAGTTAACCCTTCTTGTCCAATGAAGCTATACAGTGACATTCTGGGTTTTTTGATAAACTCACCCTTACAACTAAAACGTTCACCTCTTACTCCGTATCCTCTAGATCTGAGCATTGACCTTTTATCAAAACTAACTTCATCCAGGAAGATAATCCCATTTGATGCTTCCCAGCTAAACCCATCCGAAGGATTCGACAAATTGATGATGCAGAAATGGCGATCCGGAACGTGTCTTCAGACAACCGCTTTGCTTCGTCCAAATAAAGAGCCGGTTTGCAGCGATACAATTCAACCAGCCATGTCCGGTTATCTGCAACAAAAATTTTCACGTCACGTTCGTATTCCTTTCGGGGAAAAACCGTTCTGTTGATACGTGGACATCCATTTGGAAATGGTTGACTTATACTTCCGATAGATGATTGCAAGCTTAGCTTTGATTAGACCAAGGGAAAAGTATCCATAAAGCGCATGATATGCTGTATTCACCGATGCCCGCTTCTGCGAAACTTACAGGAAGATATCAGACATGGTGATCAGTGTTGGCAAAATCAGAAATCAATTGATATTTTTCCGCTCTCATGCGCTCGCAATATCACGCGTGATATTGGAACAAAATATCATGCTTGATATTGATTTTACAAGCTCCTTTGATATTGCGAGACTATTCACAATGTGCAAAAATCAAGCAAGCAAAAATGAATCCATTGCACATCGTTTTTTTAGAAAGAGAAAGCATAGTTTGCTATCTCTTTTTAATCTTCACCGATGGCAGACGCGAAGGGACTGCTGCAAGCCGTTATGGAAATTTCGGTTGCATTCGGGTGTAAAGCAAAAATCATTAAACTCAATCTCACCACAGTTTGGTGAGATTTGCAGTTGGTGAGTTTTGTTATCTTAAAATTCCTTCACAGCTTGCAAAATCAACCGCAATAGTTTGCTTGATGATTTTTGTCTACGAAAATCTAGCGTGATCTTGGGCATTGGTGAGATTTGATTTTTTGATATTTTCCCAACACTGATGGTGGTACAGATAATCAATAGACCTGATACAAAATACAAGATACATTCATTTTATGATAGCTCTCGTGTCAAAATGTTTCAATAATTACCTGCGTATTGATGGGATATTGTTGTGTTTTTTTGCAATTTCACTGAGACGATGATTGAGGAAAAAATACCTGTCAACTACGATCGTCACAGTAGTCTAAAAATTCATGGCATGAGCAATATGACATATGAAGCTCTTTTTATGTGCATTATAGTAACGGAAATTTACACTACTTTTTAACTGTGTAGAATTATCATCATTATCATAGGAAGTTTTCAGAATTAAATAGAATCTCAGATAAAAAGGTAACAGTGAATTGTTGGAAAAATTGATTTCTGTTGGCTGATGTTTTTCCAGAAAACAATGGATTGCTAGTTCATGTGGAGCACACAGTCAAATTATGTTATGTGGATTTGTCAATTCTCATTGACTTTTTCTTGAGTATTGAATTTTCTCAAAGCGATTGTTCTTCATTTTCGCACTTCTTTTCCCCAATTTCTCCCAGTCACAAAATAATGATAAACCATGAATTATGGCAAACGTCCATGAGTCAAATAGACAATTCGTATTACAAATAAATTATTTAACTCGAATTTACAGGCTTATTGCACCCATGATGTTGATAATTTATGTACTTTTAAACTGGCCTATTTCAAAAAGGTAAGTTTGCAAAATTTAATAAGCTGACAATGCGGTAAAGGCACGCATATCAAAACTTAAACACATCACTTGGTACGTCTGCTAAATCGGAAAAATTTAAACCTCCAAGCAAAATGCAATACTCTTCTATTCACACCGAAAAACGTACCCATGTAGGTAGCCATCAAAGCGATGTTACACTGTGGCGCACTGAGCCGTATAATATCGCTATCATCGTTTCGGTATCAGGAAAGAAAACAACCTCACAAACGACACACCGAGATAAACATGTTCCTTTCCATGGACTGACTGGTCGGTACGAGAAGCACCTTCGGAAGCTACCGACGACGTTCATCAGAGCTCTGCAACCTGCAGCCTGCTCCTCGGACCGACAACGAACGAGCACGCGCACACGCCGTATAATTAAATTGGAATTTTCCGATAGTTAATTGTCGCGCGCACATACAAGCGATAGCGAGGCCAACTTCGATCGACTCTCTTACCTGATCCGGTCGGAGTCCGGGTGGAACCCAAGTGTACTCCTCTAGTGCACAGCCGCTGTCATCGTCGGACTGGGAATAATTGTGACCACCGCCGCCGCCGCCGACGACTCCTCCTCCTACTCCTCCTCCTCCACCGGGACCTCCCCCGGGAATGGGTTGCTGCGGGTTGGGAGGGAAATTCGGTGGAAATGTCTGCTGCTGAGGGTGATGGCCTGCTGATCCTCCTCCTGCGCCCCGGGGTGAGTGATGATACAGAGCTGGTGATGGCGATCCCATCGAAGGTGGTGGTGGTGGTGGATGACCGTATGGTCCAGGATGATGCTGGAGATGCTGCAGGTGCTGAGGATGAAGGTTGTTCGCTTGGGAAAGGGCGTGGGCACTATAAATTGATCGCGATCCTCCGGCATCCTGATGCGGCTGCGGCTGGAGCGGTGGCAGGAAGTCACCCACCGAAGGGGACGGCGATGGACGCTGCAGCGGTGGCTTGGGGTACGGAGGCTGCTGCGGCTGGTGGTGGGGACTCAGCGGCACTCGATTCACGTCGTACTCGAAGGAAGGTTTTTGGTATGGGTACGACATTTGTACTGACTGCGGCGGAATTCTGCAAAGAGTGGAAAAATGTAAACGAATTAGAGAAATTGATTAACAGGTGGAGATAATCTAATAGATTTCAACGCCTGGAACTAATTGGCAGAGAATGGTCGGGGATGACTTTCAAAAATAAAAGATCGGCCAATAACAGTATATGGCGGTGCTCGTTCATGTGTGAGAATGCTTCAGCATCTTTCTTTCTGTGCTCTCAAGTATCGAAAATCAAGCAAAATGTATTACGCAAAGTACTGGTTTCATACATGCGGGCGCTCTCTCTCTCTCTCTCGCTCGGTGTGTCTGAGTTAGGCCATATTTTAACCTTTTTCATGCACCTACGAACCAGCGCAGCGAGGAAGGTAATAAGTGATCTCCGTGGGTTGACCTACAAAAGAACCTCCGTACGAACGTACGTGCATGACGAAAGGCGAATATTAACTACAAAGCCCACAATCAGAGCGCCCATAATTAGGTTAAACTTGATCTCGATGGAAAATAGCATGGGCACGGGCAGAACTGAATCGAAACGGAGATGCATTTGCCACGGCCTGACTGGAGGTTCTTGATTTGAAAGGACGGGATATTTGGACTGGGTATCAAGACACGGAAAAAGCGAAAGCACGTGGTTAAGTAATCCATAACCGATGCGATCTAGCACGCAAACGGCGGCCGAGGTGGTGCCACAAGATAAGTACCAACAACAGTCACGCACATTTTCCAGTTGATTATATCGAATGCTGCCAGCGGAGCGACGGGATGATTTATTGAGATCTGATTTTTTTGTTTGCTAATCAATACGAAATTCATTTAATCCATTGAAGGAAGGCTTTATTGCTCGAAACTGGTCGTGCTGACGACGTGTTAAAATTAGCAGGATCTGGATCCCCTGCCAAGGACGCGCAATCAACTGGTTATTGTTGATCCCTTTATTTGCACTTAATCAGAGGCTCAGATGACAGTGGAAAAAAACGAGATGGTCCTGCTGTCATCGGAAAGTAACTTGAACGGCTGTGATGAGTGGGAAACGACGAACGTTAATGTGTTTGCTTTAATTAAATGAAATGAGAATTGAACAGGCATCTGTCCAAAACAGTGAAAGAGAATTCTACAATATTTTTAAGATCAACAATTAAGATAACCATTGCAATTAATCAAGCAAACAGCGTAATCTAACGGCCTCCCTTAGCTCAGTCGGTAAAGGTCCAGCTACAAAGCAAGACCATGAAAATCATCATGAATCAAAAATAGGGTGCATAGAACGAATTACCGTGCATTAAATTTAATGTGAGTTTTTAATTTTCAAGAAAATAATACTGCTTAGGAGTATTTTAGAAAAGTTTTGATGAAAGTTTTTAAGGTAATTCCAACTAAAATTCCATCAAAAATAAATTTGGAATTCTGAGGATACCTCTAACAACTAGAGATTGGCGATCCGCTCCCGAGCCGTTCTAAAGACCCGATTCACTAAAGTGAGCTGATGACCCGCGGTTCATTTTTTCAGGAACCGCAGCTCATCAGCACACTGTTATCACAAATCTTAACCATTCACTCTGTCACTTATAGCGGAATTTTTCAAAAAAGCACGCATTGCTTTTTTACGCGTTCAACAGTCACCGCGTAAACCAAGATGAAGGCGTAATTAGTTCCTACGATTATACGATCTTAAATTTCTACTGGTATTATCCAATGCTATCCAATGTATATGTGCTCGTACCTCTCCTCCCATCATTCATTCCAGCTTATCAGTTCAGCTCCGGATCCGAATCATCGGCCCGAATCATTATTCACTAACATGACAGCTCTCGGACCCGTCCAGCTCTTCGGATCTATTTTCTCCCGATTCTTCACAATTCAGCTCCAGATTAAGAACTGAGCTGATGATCTGGAGCTGAAGCCAAGAATAGTGGGAGCAATTGTGCTGGAGAATCAAGGTGGATTCCGTCCAGAGCGATATTCCACGCACGGGGCGAGATTTTGCGAATGTACGAGAGGGAGAGAAGTACTAGTTGTCTCTCTCATTCCAACGCAAATTCTACTCCGCTCCGCTAATGCACGCTCAGATCTGAATACTCCATTAGACTTATGATATCAGTGAACCGCAGGTCATCAGCTGACTTTAATGAATCGGGTCTATAGAACAGCTCGGGAGCCAATCTCTAGATTTGAGCTGATGATCTGGAGCTGAAGCCGAGAATAGTGGGAGCAATTGTGCTGAAGAATTAACATCTGAAATAAAAGCTGTATGTAGAATGGATTGCATAGCTTGAGAAAAGGTGTAACATCGAGTAACACGATGTCGATCATATCATCGCGTGTGACATTTGTGTTAAAATTTCTATAGTTTAAAGGTGAGCTAAAGAGCTGTTCGAAAGAATCGACTCCCTTTAATGAGCTGAACGGGTCTGATCCGCTTTGCCAGATGAGTTATTTTGTCCACCTCTAAGAACATCCTTTTGGTTTGTTTTTTCCGTCGATCTTGTTTTCCGTGCTGAGCACCAATGCTACCGATTTCCTTTTGAATCTTTTCTCAGCGGATATTTCAGAACTCTTCTAAAATAAGATTGAGATTCTCTATGAGAGTCCCAAAAATATATATATAATAGTATAGAAATTCTCTGCAGATTCATCCAAAGTAAAAGATTCCTGCTAAACTTCTGCTCAAAGTTCGCAAACAATTCACTTCAGAATTGTCTTGAAATTTCGTTCAGAATTATTTTGGACTTCTCCTCTAAATTCTTCTGCAATTTTCCTTGGAAGATTCCTTAAAATTCTCTAGAAATTCATTTCGTGATGCTCCGTGATGCCCTGCCTCGTGATGCCTGATCTTTAGAAATTTTACGCTCAAAATTAGATTCACTTGGTATTTTTCACAGATCCTGGGATCCTCTTCACAATTGATTTGGAATTTTCCACTGATCTATTTTCCTTTATTATAGAGATTTTTAGCCATATGGCTAGTTCATCTCTTAAGATAGTATAAAAAAGGAGTTAAAAATTGGGTTCTCAGAAGGAGATTCCCAATCTTGGCAGTGGTACATTTATCTTGCCATAAATGTTAAAAGGGCCAACAAAACGGAAATACAAACAAGGAACACTCAGATATTGTGGTAAAGGTTCGCCTCCTTTAGGAAGGTGATGAGGGCGGCTGCTGCCAGGAACTCGTCGCCCAACAGGTTCCGAATGCTGATTGACTGCAAGCCGAAGGTCCTCCAACTCCGCGCAGTTCACGAGGATGTGCAGGGTGGGCTGGCACTCCGCAGGTTTCGCAGGTCCTCCGAAGTTGTGGGAGACTCTGCTGTGCCCGGTGCGCAGCCTTGACACCACTCGTTGTTCTCTTAGGTTTGGTCGATCCTTCCAGGTTCCGGTGGTCGCCTTGATCTTCCGAAGGTGGTGTGTCCTGTTGTTCCTCCACTCGGTGTCCCAGGCTCTCCGAATCGTCCGCTTGATCCACTTTTTGACATCTTGGAGTGGTACATTGCCGGTGGACCTGGGTCCGTTGTGGCCAGAGCCGGCGAGGTCGTCGGCTATTACGTTCCCTTGGATCCCGCATTGACCGGGTACCCACATGAATACTGTGTTGGGCAGCGCGTGCTTTACCGTCCCTTGGATCCACGGATGCTTCGGTGTTTCTGTTGTTAGGGCCAATATCACGCTGTGTGAGTCAGTTACGACTAATATCGGCCGGTTGGCCGGTAACTTAACCGCGTGGAGAATGGCTGCTGCCTCAGCTGAGAACACCGAGCATTGGGGCGGAAGCGATCTGCTCACAAGCAGACCATCTCCGGAGACCCCCATTCCCACTTCGCTCCTGGAGAAAGAGCCGTCGGTGTACCTGTGCGCCCCGAGAATTTCGACAACTGTCCGGCATAAAGCCAGCTAGTTGTCTCCTGCCCTGAAGCGGTCCTTGATTCGGCTGTCAATTTTGATCTTGTGCGATTGCCAACTTTTGTCTCCGTGCCAGTGGACCCTGGCCACTGGAGGGAGATCTACGTTGGCGGCCGTGCGGAGGAGTCGGTTCGCCTCGTCGAGGAGAACGATCCTGTTGTTTACCGACGTTTTAGCGAGAAAGGCAGCGGCTGTGGTAGCAGTAGCTGCGGTGAAAACGAGCCGAAAAGGTAGGATACCGGCTTCAACGCATGCAGCGTCGGCCGGGGTAGAGGCCAGCAGACCGGAGACTGTTCGAACGTAGCCGTTGTACCAGTGTTGGAAAAGTTTGCGATATTTCACGAAGTTCACCAAGGGAAAAGTTCGCGAGTCGTAGTGATTTTTTGCGAACTTTTCCATCACTGCGTTGTACACCGGTTCCAGAATCTGGACGGCTTTCTCGGCGGCAAGACATGTAATCTCTACACCGTACAGTAGGCGACTGTCGATGATGGCTCGAGCTACGCGGAAGCGGATTTCGCGATTGTTGTATCGGTGAGGGTGGGAGATGGATTTAATCAGGTTGGACCGACTGCGACAGTCCTTCTTTACTTGTTGGAAGTGCGACTCAAAGGATAAATTCCGATCGAGGAGCACCCTCAAGACCCTCACGGTGTTTTTGGTCGGTATTGTTTGTTTTTTAATCCGTTGTTGCGATGCCTGGTGGTACATATATGGCAGCGCACGCTCTTGCCGGCGGAAAGCTGGAAACCAACAGAGTCAGCCCATCTGACCACCGAGGAGACTGCCGATTGCGCTCTCAGTTTCGTCCTCTGCAGGGTGGGACCCACCGTTACAATGAGGACGTCATCCGCGTAGACGAAGATGTAAACGTTCTTGGGTAGTTGGTCTAAGACCCCATTCATGGTCACCAGGTTTCCTCACTGAAACTTCCGGATTGCACGTTTCCGACCGAAAGAAAGTTCCGGACGAAGTGAAGGATGTATCCTTTCAGGCCTCAATCAGCAAGCTTCTTCAATACAGCTGGTGTCCGTGTTCGGTTGAACGCTTTGGAGATGTCCAGCGAGACGATCTCCGCGTGAAGACCTTGGTCCTTTGCCTCCTTCAGGACTTCCCCAAGAGTGGCGA